CTGAAGAAATCCAATTATTATCTGAGTTTTGTTTAGAGTAAATGTTTTAATGTCATATTAAATATCTTACGAGATATATATATATCTCGTAAGATATTACTGTCATACAAGTATAGCAGATGAAATATTTTAATAGAGATCTGTACTACCCACTTACTAGAGCTTTACTTTATATTTTCCCCATCTTTGCTTTCTCATTTTCTCTTTTTTTCTGCACTATTTGAAAGTACATTGCAGATATCATCACACTTGCACCCTTAAATATTTCAGCCTAAATTTCCTAAGAACCCAGTCCATATTCAGAACCGAATGTCCTTTACTATAGTTTTTGTTTTGCTTTTGGTTTTGATCAAAGATTCCATCAAAAATCACAAATAGCAATTGGTCGTCATGTTTCTTTCATCTCTTTTATGAACTATCTTGTTTCCCTGTCTTTTTTTGTGTTTTCTTATGTTGCATTTCATGATGTTAACATGTTTTAAAAGTCAAAGATAATTTTCTGGTAAAATGTCCTATAGTCTAGACTCATCTGACTGTTTGTGTCCTCATAATTAGATTCAAATTAAACATAGTGTACATTGCTTCTCCTCAGAAGTTGCATGATACTAGCTAGGATGAGTTTAATCACTTGGCTAAGTTGGTGTTGACCAGATCTCTTCATTGTAAAGGTGCTTAATCCTCTTGATAACAAAGAAGGCATCTGTGGGGTAATCTTAGAGACCATGTGCATTTTTTTTCCCCTGACAATGATTCACCCAATGGTTTTAGCATCTATTTCTGATCCTTACATGAATAATTATTAAGTTGCTAGTTGCAATATGGTACTAACTTGATTTCTGAAGTCATTTTACAAAGAAAAATTCTCCTTTCCATTCCCATGCGCTGCTTGGGAAAATGTTGGCTCCAAAGACTCATGGCAGAAGATCAGTGAAAGTGAAACTTGAAAACAACTATCCAAACACACATTAACTATGAAGATGCTTGAAGGGTTTTCTTTGTGAGTGGGTATGCAGGAAACCTCTACCCTAGAGTGAGAGCTCTTTATTTTAGAGATTTGTACTTAAAATAATCCTTATTGATGCAGGTGAGGAAAATCTAAATAAATTGCTATTCTGATTTTGTTGTCCCCCCCCCCCCGCCCCCGGACTGAGAGAATTCAGCAGTAATGCAATGAATTTTCTTTTAATGCTACAATCTGAAAAGTTATGATATTTACCATACCATTTGAAAATGTCTTGGAAGTAGTTCCTTTTAAAGCATATTATGTTGAAATCAAGTGGGCATTAAAACCATGGAATTCTTTGAAAGGTGGGATAAAGCGGAAATTGTTTTGTCTTGATACTTCTTGATCTAGGCTAATAATCCTTTGGGGGAATTTATCCTTAGGCTTTTTACTGATTCTTCTCATGACTGGCTCACTCAGTGAGTGTTATCTGATGAAGATCTGATTTCACTTCTGAAAGCACAGCCTTGTTCTATTTGTTTGAGGTATTAGTAGGTAGCAGGAAAAGACTGACTCCAGGCAATGCAATATAAAACCCACCCATCCATATTGAAATTGGAGGTTATCCTGCATGCTATGTAAGTTCTCCCACTTGCAATTTATAATAGGTGACTTATATTTTTGAAGCAATTAACTGTTCATTTTAAGTTGACAAAATTGTTCTTTATTATTGCCGTAAGGACTTTAGCAGTCTCCAGGAAATTGTTTATAATTTGCTTCATTTTTCTTTTGTTTTGTAAGAGGATTTTAGACACTATTATTGTGGCCAGTTAGACTTGGACCCATGCATCCTCTTAAGCTGTGAATATGCTGGTCTGAAAGTCCTGGTCTCAAGCAATCCTTGTGCCTTGGCCTCCCAAAGTGCTGAAATTATAGGCCTGAGCCACTATACCTGGCTGATAACATATCTGACAGTATAATGAAGAGATATTGAGATATTTCCTATTTTAAAATACTTTGTCTTGCTTTCTAATATATAGCATGACACTCAACCTCAAAGGATATGGAAAGCTTACTTTATTGTAAAGCCTTGCAAACTACATTGCTTAAATTTTAGTGACAGGTTCATACCTGTTAAGCAGGTTTATAAAACACAGATGAATCAACCCAAGTATGTCAGAAATCTTACTAAGAACAGTGTATCTTATTCAGTGTAGACAGTCTTTTAAAGTATTTTGATTGAGTTTGTCCTACAGCTTAATTACTAGAGTAAGAATTAAAATAACAAAACTGGTTGCAAGTCTCTTGAGGGTAAGAGGTCATCTTTCTTTCAGGCCTATGATAGTGTCTAGTAAGGCTCCATGCATATTTGTTGAATTAAATTTTCAATTTACTTTCTAAATTGATTTTAGAAATCTGGTCTAATAGATTTCTCAGTCGATAGGTCGCCATCTCACATGACGTCCTCTTGATGGTCATATCCTCTTCTTGTTTCCGTCCCTTTTCACTCCTATTCTTGACCCAAATAACCAGTCACTTTTGACTTAAAGAATAGCAATTCTTTAAGCTGCTGTATTTTACTTTTTAAAATTTATATAGGCAGGGTATATTAAAAACATTTAAAGAATTACATAGAGTCAGAGAGATAGGTTACTCTGTACTAAAGGCTATGTTATGATTTTTGTTTTTTGTTTGTTTGTTTGTTTGTTTTTTGAGACGAAGTCCCATTCCATCACCCAGGGTGGAGTGCAGTGGTGCCATCTTGGCTCACTGCACCCTCTGCCTCCTGGGTTCAAATGTTCCTCCTGCCTCAGCCTCCCGAGTAGCTGGGATTACAGGTGCCTGCCACCGCACCTGGCTAATGTTTATATTTTTAGTAGAGACAGGGTTTCACCATTTGCCCAGGCTGGTCTCAAACTCCTGACCTCAAACGATCCATCCACCTCGGCCTCCAAAGTGCTGGGATTACAGGTGTGAGCCACCGTGCCCGGCCACTGTGTTAGGATTTGCAAAATATAAAGAAATTAAGACCTGGTGCTTGCCGTGAGAGCTCACAGTCTGCAGGTAAAATAGACATATAAAGAGGACTGAAAAGTACAGGTCATGGCAAGAAGGTGGCAGGGAGTAGGGCACAGCTAAAGGAGGGTCATGATCCTTACCTGAGGCAACAATATCGCCCCATAGTAACCCTAGAACTGGATCTTAAAGAATGGGTTTCCCAGGCAGTCAGGGAATGGAGAGGGAAATCCCTATGGTTTTGTGTGTTGACCAGAGTGAGGAGCAAGTGTGTTCCCTTCGAGAATTTGATGAGTATAGACTTTTAAACGATTTGGGAGAAGAGAAGGGCAAGGCATGGCAGACGTTACCAGATGTGGTAGACATGCCAAGTTGGGGAAGGAGGTGTATGGTTGGATCTAGAGGGAAGTGGATAGAAGTCAGGGAACAGGTGTGGTGATAGGACTCCTAATCTTTGTGAAGTCAAAGATCAGGCAAAGGTGGTGGAGTGTGTTGAAGTGAGTTGTGGATTGGGCAGGTGTTCTCAGGGAGGCAGACAAAGTGAGAGTTCTCAGGGTGTGATCCTGAGCACATATTCCTAAACGGGCCGGATTTTTGATCTCCTCCCTCCCACTGTGTTGTCTTTCCGGGGCCATATTCACCACTGTCTTTCACATGCATTATTAACAGCCAAGATCTCTTACCTCCAGTACACACCAATTAAAGTCAGTTAAAGTCCTCCACCTTAAATAAACTCATTTGTAACTCAAAGAACCTCACATAGGAAACCTTTTACAACCAACCTCCCCATACTGAATGGGTTATTCTTTCATTAAAACTCCAATGTTTACTCACTACAGGATATTATCACTCATATCCTGTATAGTCATATGTTTGCCTGGCTTTATCTCTTAAATAAGTTGCTTGAGCCTAAAGATTGTTTTATTTATTTATTTATTTGTTTGTTTGTTTATTTATTTATTTAGGCAAGCTAGAAAAGCATCTGGCATTCCTATTTGCTAAATATTTGTAGAAGAAAGGAAGAAGAGAGGAAGGAGAGGGATAAGGAAGTTGAAATTGAGGAAAGGAAGGAATTTGAAACTAAAGAGTCATATGCTTTGCGACATAAATTCTGAAGGTCACACAGGTTGGTAGTGCCAGCCGAAGAAGGAGGATGTTGAGTGAACCTGTGGTTGAATGAGGAGGATGGTAGTGATGCTTGGGGGATGAGAATCGGCAAGAAGGCTGAGGGCAGCCCTCCTCAAAGAAGTTGACATTTAGTGGAAAGTTTAATCACAATTGCAAAGGAATTTCAGAGGGCACAATGGAATGGGTTGGGAGAGGATTTGGTTAAGATTTGCTGAAAATCCTGAACTTTTGGTAAATACTGCTCTGTGTTGGAAATATTTCAGTGAGAATTGACCCTTAATTAATTCTCACTCTTGGATATCCCTTGCAAGTTATCTGGAGAGTTCCTCAGAAGAAAGTATTTGCAGCAACAGTTATCTCATAAACTTGTGTTTATCTCATAAACTCTCACACTAACCCTGTGCGGTATGTATTACTGTCTTCCACATCTTTTGAATGAGGACAGCTAGACTTCGAATGGTTAAGTGTCGTTCAGAGTCCTCACATTGCTCCTAAGTGGGCCACTACTACAGTCAAGGCAACACATGCTGGAACCCATGAGGTCGCCAGGGAATATCAGAAGTGCTGTCCCATCTCCTGAAATTGAAACTAATTTCCTCAGTGACTCAATACCCACTGCCACTCACTCAAGTGCTGCAAGTTCAACCCAAATCATCCTGCCACCATGGAATCTGATGGGTCACACTGCTGCCTACTGAAAATGGGGATTTGGGTTAATGATAGAATAGGTTAAAATCCATAAAATAGGTAAACTAGGATAAAATACAGTAAGAATGGGTGAGAGGAGAGAAAAAGAATACTTCTGTTTAGGAAGTATACTACTACTTAAAATTTCCTGAGAATACATTTGTCTTCTAGACAACACATATGCTTTCAGTGTGAATCAAGATGATATGCTGGAAGAGGAAGACATGGGTAACAAGAACATTTGTTTATTGAGGAAAAAATAAACTGATGGGTATTACTAATGGAATCCTTATTATAGATAATTTTAAACTTTCCAAAAAGTTTGAAAATCTGTCTATATGGGATGTTCTAATTCAAGGGTTTCTTGAGGTTGAATTCTCTTGCTTCTGTGAAAGCATCTTTTCCTTAGTGCTGGCCGATAGGGACGCTTGGTGGCCTTTACAGGGTGCTCCCTCCTCAGCACAGAGGAGAGGACATGCTGCCTCAGCCAGCTGAAGGCCCACCCAAGACAGCACGGGGTCCGTGTGTGGGAAGGAGTGTCGTCCTTCTCTGACTGCTCTGACAGGATTGAGGAGATCTCTGGAGCAATTGTCCTTTGGCTGGCAGTTGCCTCACTTATCATCTGCCAAGAAAATGAAGGATGTGTTAGGTAGACGTAGCCATGACAACAGCCAAGTCAACATTTACTCATTTATGGAATTCACATTTGTTTAGCAAAAATATCCCAAGTAGGCCAAGCACGGTGGCTCACGCCTGTAATCCTAACAATTTGGGAGAGTGAGGCATGTGGATCACTTGAGGTCAGGAGTTTGAGACCAGTGTGGCCAACATGGTGAAACCCCATCTCTACTAAAAGTACAAAAATTAGCTGGATGTGGTGGCAGATGCCTGTAATCCCAGCTACTCAGGAAGCTGAGACAGTAGAATCGCTTGAACCCAGGAGGCAGAGGTTGCAGTGAGCCAAGATTGCGCCATTGCAGTCCAGCCTGGGCAACAGAGCGAGACTCTGTCTCAAAAAAAAAAAAAAAAAAAAAATAGACCAATGTCAATGCACAGTTTCAATGCCCCTTAATATCATTAATATTAAAGATACACGTTTTTGGGGAGAAGGGAGATATAGTCGTTAGCCCTTCTCCTTGCTTACTACCCTCTTGTTTCTCTGAGCGTTCCTCAGTCTTTTCCCTACATCCTCACCCTGACTCCTTTCCTCGTTATCTCTCTCCCACTGGTATCACTCGGACCCCCTGGGACCTGCCTCCCAGTGATTGCAAGATTCTGTGGTTCAACCCAGGCTTTTCCCTTGTCCTGTGAGGCATCTCTGTGCTCACCTCAGCCAGCTCATGTTCCTTAGGCCTTAGAGGAGTCTGTGGAGACTGCATAACATCTTTATTTTCTGGTGGTTTGCACTTGGGCAGGTCTTGACAAGCATCGTGTTCTTGATGACTGACCTGAGCCATTTCCAGAGGGGAGCCTCTGGACAGTCGGAAATCGTTCTGAGTAGTTTCAGGAAACACAGCGTCATCATCTTCAGCATCTTTCAGGTTTTCTAGAAATGTCTGAAACTCTTGCACAAGATTATCCAGTTTGCTGACAGACAGTTTTGTCGTTTCTTTTGGGAACTTGTTGATCCACAGGTTGTCGCCATTTAGAAGGCTATTAGCTATTGAGTCTGTGTTGTCAGAGCCGACGTCCACATCCCAGGCCAGGAGGATGCTTAGTTTGCAAAACTGCTCTGGTTTGTCCTCAATTTGGTCTTGTCTTTTCCTGGGTCTCCGTATCATTTCTGTCCCCCATCTCCCTTGGATGGGAGGGAGGAAGTGGATGGAAGGACCCTTGGAGGGCGCATCTTCACAGGAGGTTGTGTCCTCACAGGAGGTTGTGTCCTCACAGGAGGTTGTGTCCTCACAGGGGAAATGGCCCACGGAGAGGCTCAGGTTGGAAGTGGATTTGGAGCTGCAGTCCTCTGTGTCACTGTTAGAGGATGAATATGCCATGGAGTTCAAAGGCACAATTCTCTCTCAACTCGAGTAGCTTCAAAAGAGAAAAGAAGAAAAAATAAGTGGGAGTGGGGAGAAGAGAATCATGGTACTTAAGCAAAAACAGTATCCATCCTTTTTTCTTTTTCTTTTTCTTTTTTTTTTTTTTTTTGAGACAGAGTCTTACTCTGTCACCCAGGCTGGAGTGCAGTGGTGCCATCTCAGCTCACTGCAAGCTCCGCCTCCCAGGTTCAAGTGATTCTCCTGTCTCAGCCTCCCGAATAGCTGGGATTACAGATGCCTGCTACCACACATAGCTAATTTCTGTATTTTTAGTAGAGTTGGGGTTTTACCATATTGCCCAGGCTGGTCTCAAATTCCTGACCTCAGGTGATCCTTCCACCTTACCCTCCCAAAGTGCCGGGATTACAGGCATGAGCCACCATGCCCGGCCCCATTCCCTTTTCTATTCAGAACTACCCCATTGAGATGGAAGTCTTACCCTGCTTTTACAGTCTCTCAGTGAAGGGCAAAAGAGGCAGCCCTCTGCCTTTCAAAACTTGTTTCATTGTGTTATAATCCTTTCTGCTAAGCATGTCCACCTCTCATCATTTGTCCTACTACACTTGTAAGATCTTGTATCATAAAAAGATGATTATCATATACAATTGGAAAAATATAGAAACATATGAAGATATAAACAAATATGCTATAGTCCCACCTTCTAAAGGTAATGATAACTATCAGAAC